AAAAGTACTTTAAACTGTATAAATAATGTAAAATTAAATTGATTTAAACTGCCAATCATACGAATGTCTGCCTATGATACAGTATCGGTATGTATACGTATACTTTGTATATTTTAGAATTGTTAGACAATGGTATTCAATTCAACTATTTTTGAGCTTGTATAACAGAATTAACTATGTATATGTATAAGTTCGATAAACTTATTTCTATTATTATACATTATACATGCAGAATTTAATATTATCATTGTGAATATTTAAGTACAAGAATGTAAGAAAAAAGTGTCACTAGAAATAAAGACCAAAGTATAGATGATTTAAAATAAGTACTGTTAATAAAAACCTGCTATCGGGCTTTCAATGTTTAGTTAGCTTTCTGTATGCCATCTATAAACAATCTGTTATCACAATAGATTGCCTATAGATAGTATGCAGAAAGCCAACTGAATATTGAAAGTCCGATGACAGGTTTTATATTAACAGCACTCAAATATAAAAGTAATCCTACTTATGTTATAGATACAAAAAAAATTATTACAAGAAGTTATAATAGAATAACACTTTATATTAGGTATTATAGTACGAAACCATTAAAATTGGTTAATCTAAATTAGATTTTAAGTTATTGACTATTTATTAATTTATTACAGTAATCTTTATTATATTTAAATAGTAAAGCGAAAGAGTTAGTATAATAATATATCTAGATAAAATAACCGATTATTTATTAATATATAGCTAAGTTCAATAATATATTTATTTCTTTATCAACTTATAACTACATTTTACATTTATAATATATTAGAAGAATAAAATACAAATTCTAAACAGTAAAATTAACAAATTCTTCTAATGTAGCTTGTCTCTTATTTTCATTGCGCAAATAAACAATATACCTTTTAAAACTATATAGTTCTTTCATCAAAGATGAAGTAATTTCTAAATTATTTTGCTGAATATACATTATCAAGTTATCAAGCCCTACAATCGCATCACCAATTTTAACAATTTCTTTATCTTGTTCTTCTTTTTCAGATTCGCTTTCACCTTGTCTATTTACTATATCAACAATATCATTTACAGTTAAGCTTTCCTCAATATCTACATAATTATCTATGTTAATATATTCTTGAACATCTAAAAGATCACTAATCGGTAAATGTTTAATAAGATTTATAATTTCTATTTCCAATTCAGTTTCTTCAGGTGTGAAGATAAAATTATCATCAAAATTTTCTGTAGTTGGAAGTATATTGGCTCTACTCCAACTGTGAATAATCGTATTTGCAGTAACATTTTCCCACGCTTGAGCTGAAAAATTAATTGTATCATATATAGTAAGTTCAGAAGGGGTTGGATTATTTTTAGTAATTGCATCATAAGCTTCAAGATGGTTTTGACAAAAAATACAACGATATTGTGCCTACAAAAAAAATAAAATAAAT